TGTCTTGTCCACATGGGATCGGAATAGCAATTTGCTATCGAGGGTGAGACCAAGGTAGACTACTTCACTCGACCATTCAATGGGAGTGCTATCAAGATGGATCTTGACGTTAGCAGGCGGGACAAGCCGAGGTGAATACGAATGTGGAAACAGAATGGTTTGTGTTTTAGCTGCATTGATACAAATCTTCCAGCTCTTAAAATAGTCGGACAAAACATCCAGGCCTGATTGTAGTTTACTCGCCAGAGCACGGATCACTCGACCCTTATAGATGATGGAGGTGTCATCTGCGAACATTGACAGGATACCACCACCCGGCAGGGGAGGAACGTCTGACGTGAAAATGTTGAATAGGATAGGCCCAAGCAGGCTACCTTGAGGGACCCCTGCATCAACGTTGAACGTATCAGAGGAGACATTGTTCAAGTAGACCTGGAATGATCTGCCCGACAAGTAGTTTTTGATGATCTTCACGAGGTAGTTCGGAAAGTTGTATCGATGCAGCTTGTACACTAGACCATCATGCCAGACATTGTCGAACGCCTTCTCGACGTCCAACAATGCCATGGCAGATGTATTGGAAACGGACTTGTTCCGCTTGATGATTTTAGTAACCCGTGCGAGTTGGTGGATGGTAGAGTGGCCTTTCCTAAACCCGAATTGCTCTTTGAGAAAGATGTTATTATCATTTGAAAACACCAGCAGACGGCTGAGTATCAATTTTTCGAATAGCTTCGAGATGGAGGACAAGAGGCTGATGGGGCGATAGCTTTTGGCACTGGTAGGGTCTTTGCCAGGTTTGTGAATTGGAATAACTTTGGCTAACTTCCAGCATGCAGGGAAGTAGCCAAGCATTAAACACTTGTTGAAGACCACTGCAAGGTGCTTGAAGAAGTCAACACTCAAGTTTTTCAGCTCGAGGTTGACCACTCCATCGACACCAGCGGCCTTCATGTTCTTTGTTGATTTAATCGCTGCTATCACCTCATCAGCCGATATTCTACTTTCGTCAGGGACAACTACGGGGGTGGCAGCGACACTAGCCATTGCCTGTGATACTGCAGGCTCGTGGGGACTCACCATGGCGTGGCCAAGGTTATGTGAATTTACAAAGTGTTGTCCAAGAGCATTGGCCTTTTCAAATGGGGTTATTAGTAAAGATGGGTCCGAATTTTGGTTAGGAGAGGAAAGGGGAGGAATGGGCCTCGGCTTATTTTTCAAAATATTTGCCATTTTCCAGAATGGCTTAGCACAATCTGGGAGAGAGCGAATCTTGTTTGCAAAATCGATATTTCTGAGATCCACCATCCTGGCTTGGATGATTTTGTTCAAACGGTTGCAATTGGTCTTCAGGTTAGGCAGCCCAGAACGCTGGTACTGCCTACGAATCGTGTTGCGGAGTCTAATGAGGTCTTTAGTAGGCCTGTCAAGGTTCAGAGTATTACTCACCTGTCTGGATACTGGCACATGTAGCTCCCTGGCCCGGGAAATTGCTTGATCGATGGAGCGCAGACACCGGTCAACATCTTCGGACGATTCCGGTTGGACATCGTAGTCTACAGCGGTGTCGACGCAATGTTGGAACTGACCCCAGTCAACACGATGATAGTTGCGCCGGAAAGCTTCAAATCGATTTACGGAGGATCCCACCTCAGTCACCACCGGGTAGTGGTCCGAGCTGAGTTCCTGATAGGTGATAGGTTGAGCGATGTTGTTGCCCATGTTGCTGATGAAGATATCGATGGTAGCGTGAACACCGGACCGACTCAACCGGGTGGGAGTTTCCGGACTCAAGATGTTGTACTGCGCTTCCTGCAGGTCGTTGTTCAGGATGGTGCCGTTTTGATTGCGCCGATTGTTGCCCCAAGCTTGATGTTTGGCGTTCAGGTCGCCAGCGATGATAAAGTTTTCCCGTCGTCGTGTTAGCTTGATAATATCTCGTCGCAGATCTGCTGCCGATCCGTCCCTGATGTTGACTTGTTTGGGGCAGTAAGCCGCGACGATGGTGATGGGGCCGATAGGAGTAGAAACTTCCACCCCTACGGCTTCGATGATCTTCATCAGTCGACAGCAGATGTTTCTCCTTATTGCAATAGCCACTCCTCCTCCTCCAGAGTTGGTTCGATCTAGCCTCACGAGCCGGAAATCGGGAAGGTAGACGTTTGTTTCAGGCTTCAGGTGGGTTTCAGTTATGATGGCAATGTCGATGTTTCGTTCATTGAGAAACTCAACAAACTCGATGTTTTTGCTCTTCAAGGAGCAAGCGTTCCAATTTACGATCTTGATGGCTTCACGGTCCATACTTAGTGACAAGGGACAGGGCAGCATGAAGCTGTTCAGATCGAGTCTTGCAGGTGCGCAAGATGATGATGACCTCGGCCACGAGCGTCACAAGTTCCTCCGAGGTGAACGGAGAATCGTCGACAGGCTCACCTGAGACAACACCAGCGTATGATAAACCAGGGGCGGTGGAGGGACCTGGCATTGGCTGGGCAGCAGCAGCAGCGAGACGATGCTGGACTGTTCGATTGTTAGGAATACTCACATGCTTGACTTGTTGGTTGTTGAGCGGAAGTGGTTCTAAGTTCGGAACATGTCGACGGGGCTGGAGAGCTGGGTACTGGACTTCCGTGCGTGCAGGAGGCGAACGATGATTGCGGAGGCGACCGGGCTGATTATTGATCGTAGCCTTCCGACGGATATTGATGAACTCCACTCGCTTGGGACATCCGCGATTGGAGGCTTGGTGGTTACCACCGCAGTTGACACACGTTGGCTCGATGTCATCATCTTGCTCACAGGACGCAGTCGAGTGAGTTCCAGCACACTTGCCGCAGATAGTCTTCATATGGCAGTTTTTGGTGCCATGGCCGTAGGAGAGGCAGTTCATACACTGCGTAACATCACGATGTTGTGATTTGTAATGCTCCCAACTGATGATGACCTGAAACAGGTCCCGGATTTTGGATCTCAGAGCCGCCAAACTGGTGGATCCCTTCGTGAAGTGCACCAGGAACAACTGGTCACGGAAGCTGGTGTTGTGGTTGGAACGCCGGTTTATTGGGAACACCGCCTCAGGTTTGAGCCCAAGCCGCTCCAGCTCGGATTTAACCACAGCCACCTCGAACGACGGTAATCCACGCAATACCAGCTTCAGTGGCTTGCTCGATGGCAGATCGTGCGTGAAGAAGTCAACGTTGTTTTCCTTTAGGAAACATCCTGTTTGATTGTACTCCTCCAGGCTGGAGCACATGATTTTGGTGCCGATGCTGCAAAGCTTGAAGCGAGGCAGCAGCTTGTGTTTTGCCAGTTCGGCACGCAGCTTGGCAACATCCTTCTCCGGCGTGAAAAGCGGGGGAATCCGCTCTCTTGCAGCGATGGGAACGACGTCACCATCGCCATTTTCTTCGGGCAGCACCGCAAACTGGTTGGTTTGCAGTACCCGTTTTCCAGCTTCATCATTCGACGCGCTGTGCTGGATTACCACCTTCTTTGAAGGGCCCGCTGCTGAATCATTGGTACGTTTACGCACCATTTGTTTCGTGTTGGCAAGTTGCAGTAAACTTGCCAGAACGCGCGAAGGTGGCGACGCTTCCACGGCGCAACGCGACAGCACAAACCGAATCGAAGCGAGAACTCGAGCGAAAAAGAAAACGAACTGAACAGCTCAACAGTCGAGCAAAGAGTGAGTTGAGGAACATTAGCAGCGCTGTTTTATAACTTTTCTGATTCAAGCAGCTCGATGTGCAACCAAATTGTACTTGATTATGAGGACTGGGTTTGGGGAGAACGTTTATTTCATGAAAACAGTAATAAAATTATCACTTTTTATTTGTCCATTTTTAAAACAGTTTTTATGAAAAATTTAAAAAAAAAGTTTATTTCAACAGCTTACGAAAGGTATTTCCTATCGATTGGTGTATTCGGATTTTAATTTCATCAATAAATGACAAAGCTTATAGCGTTCAAAAAATTACACCTTTTCGTGACGGTCGCAATTCTAGATTTTCGATTTACCCCCAGTACCTTCCCGTAAGACGTAGTCTACGTCAAAAATTAACATCATAATCATTACTGAATCTTTTCGTGTCACGAAACACTTCAAGTTCTGTATGTTGTTCATGCAAATCTGTAATTGAAACGTACATTTCCCGGATGGGTATAGCTATTGAATATAAACAGCATTTTTTTAATTTTTCTACAAGGGTGGAAAGGGTCATTCTTAATGGGTAACCAGTTCCTAATTTTTTGGGACGGACCTACCGTTCTGGTTAACATTCATACCTCTCACGTCAAAGTCACGAATTCAAATGTTATCCTCGGACATGTCACGAATGAGTGTTAAAGTAACTTTAATAGTAATAAAATCATAATATTGCTAATTTACCATAATTTCAATGGTTATCAGTGATCGAACGTGATCAATAATTGCGCACACTACGTATGGCATATTTTGGAGGAAACTTTTACCGGGCTTTCGTCTGAAAGTAATGAAATGTGAATATTTACGAGAGAGTTCTATTTTAGTTAGTAAAATACCATCAGTCTCCATTCCCGAGCAGGATAAAATAACTAATGAATACCTAATTCTGGCTTGTTATCGAAGCTTGGTGTTGATCAGCACGACATAAGAGGTAAATAGCCAAAGAATAATACCACCAAATTGCATGCAAAATACTTTGTAAATAACAAAAAAATATGTTTGGATACCAAAAGACTACCTGTGTGGTATTGCTATGGTATTGCATTTGCATAATTTGGTATTGGACTGGTATTGTGGTAACATTTTTTTGGTATTAATTTTTCGTCAGGCTCATCCATACCAATTTAAGATATCGAGATATTCATTCCTGCTCGGGTTGGCATCAACACATTCCTCAAATAGGCTTTAATTGATTGCACTCATTAGGCATACGCAGTTCAGAATAACTAACCACCCGTCCAGTCCGTCGGGCAAGCTCATGCATACCATTTAACCATATAGTTTCCCTTTAACTCACCTCTCTGCAATGTTTCCGTCCGTCCGGAATCGACCACCCACATGATGCCATACTTGTCGATGGCGATGCCCTGGACGAACTGCAATGCCGAGCAATTTCCCCTTTCGTTCATCGCCCACGACGGGAATGGCACTATTTCCGGATCCGTGCGTCCATTGTTCTCCGGGCGTACGAAATAGCCGAGCGTAGCCGGAACGCCAGGCAGCATCCGTGGCACCGTCACGTACAATCGATTGGCGTAGGGCTTAACGTCCGAAATCAGAACATTCTTCGGAATGTACTCCCCGCTATACAGAGCACGTGCCCGGTCATCCTCGGTGGTGTAAGCGAAATCCATAACATTCCACTCGTAAACCACTCGAAACTGTCTGTCGGCCTGGGTCGTTGGCGTTCCGGGGGTGGGTGGGTACAGGACGGGGTCTGCATTCTGAGCCGAAGCTGCCAAAACAAGCACTCCCAAGAACTGCGCAATCAACGCAGCTCCCTTCACAATGTTCTTCATTTTTCACGCTGAAGTACTCTTCTCAAACTGGACGGACTATCACCACAACACGATCCGATTCTTAATCGTTCCAGCAAACACCGCTCTTCGCAGCACTGACAACAATTAACATAACGTGACTAATAAATGAAGTATCGTCAAATATCTTCACCTCCCACCCTCGTTTGCGCTCGTGTGCTCACTGGGGAGGTACTCGGTCGGCCGGAGAACTGAACTGCCACAATTGAGCGAGACGATTCGAATGATCACTTGCTGGATGATGATGATGCAGAGACGTTGAGAAGGGAGGGGGTTGGATTCTGTAATAAGAAACAAACGAAAAGAAGACGTGTTAATTTAATTATTGCGATCTCATTTCGATGCTAGGCTGTGGGGATGGGAGATTTGGGACGCTTTCGAAGAAGGTTCATTCGCGCGGCTCGTCCCATTGGATCTCGGAAATGAAATATTCAGTTCACTTAGGAAATTCCATCTAAACATTTCATAATGGCATTCTGATTTGGGTTAGAACGGAAGTAGAAGTAATTTTGTTCGTTTCCTCGTCATTTGTCATTCGGAAGACTGCGAAGATTAATACGAGGACCCGTTAATTAATCAACACGTACTAATGAAGTGATTTTCGTTTATTCTTCTCTCTTCCGCAGGTAAATGGCACTTCCGCATCACGTCCTGACATTCCCAAATTAGCGCCTGTCGGAGTTAGTGAAGAGTAAGAGGAAAAAGAATCATCAATCTTGTCGCGAAAATGGGACTTTTCGGTCATAGGAAATTTTACAAACCCATCTGAAGGCGATGCGGTTTTTGCATTTGTTTGTAACTTTCACTCACTAACTTTTACTTTTGTTTTGTCTAGGACGCTAATTTTCTTCGGAAGTAGCGGGGAAGGAAGGTTGTTGGGGAATACTTTGCTCACTTTCTTCGGTTTTCTTTCAGTTTCCTTTTTTGGAACATGCTAAAAAGTGAATCATGTGTGCAAAATGCTCGGCACACAAATGGAAAAAAAGGTTTGGTGCGAATTGTTGGAAGTGCAGCGTAAATCATTCTGGAATTTTTTATTTGCATTACAATTACTTTGATCTGACTTATATTAAATCCGTCACGCTACGGTAAAGCAACGATTTGACAGTAAAAACATCTGTGACTGTCAAAATCGCAGTTAAAATGTACGGACGTAAGGTTCATAAATATGAAGCTTGAAAGCAAAATAATCAATATTCTTCATTATTCTCACTCAGGCCACCCTCACCAATGCTTTGCTAAAGCTATTTTTGCAGCCTCCAGCATACCGCAGTAACCGCACCGGGGGTTGCTATTCAAGTACGGGGAATAACAATCTGCCTCTCGGAGAACAGCGGGTTAAAAAATGTGACAGCGCGATAGCAACCGACCCAAGCGTTGCTATTTGTGAAATGTAATTATTGTTTTCAATTTAAAATTGTTAAAAATAACTTTCAATGATGAAAGGGGAAATGGATGTAATGTTGGCCTATATTCTCCTAATTTTGGCCCATACATAAATTCAGCAATCGACTAAATTTTCAATAGCAATCAAAAATATCCATTAGTACCGTATTTTGTCCGTTATCTAGATAAAATTTATAAATAGCAGATTTTTAACGATGGGCCCAATATTAGATCCATAGGTCAACATTGAAGCCATTTTAATCTGGGACCAAAATGTAGACCCCGGACTTGTGCTCCGGGAGATTTGGACTATCCGTAAAAGTCGTCAATTCACAAAGAAGATCCTAGGGACCATCCATAAATGTTTTAGCATATGTATGACCAATTTAAGACCCCCCTTCTCCTCTCGAAGCGTATTTTGTTATACATAATGAATGGTCGATCCTAACTTCTGCAGACCCCCTCCCCCTAGAATGCTACGTTATTTATAGATCGTCTCCTAGAGCTCCCCGGTTTATTTTAAATCACTTGTTCTGATGCTAAATGTATGAATTAGGATCTAGGACTATCATATGCACTAGGGTGGTTCAAAATATCGATTTTGCTCAATCAGGCTCAACAGATTCTAAATCAGGTTCTAATTGTTCTCTCAAAATTTGAGCTTTTTCGAATGCGGATTCATACTGCACTGGCCCTTTGAAGTTTATATGGGAACTACTATGGGAAAAGTGAACTTTTTGTTCTCAACACCCTACCCTCATGATAATTTACGGATAGGCTTGCTATCTGTGAAATTTTTTCAGCTATAGCTTTGCTGAAGACCACTTTTGATTCTATGCCGATAACTTTCTGCTATGATCAATCCACTACATTCAGCGCAACACTGTATCTTGTACATAGTAGCCTGGATGTTTTGCTCAATTCTTCGCGCCAAGCAAACAAATGTTGTTTGCCGAACAGTTTATGGAGTATGTCGAAAGAATATCATATTCTTAATTAATTTATCCTGGCTGTCAATTAAAATGTGCAGTAAAGATGCAGCTGAGAAAATTTCACATTATGGTAATTGATTCTGGTTGGACCTATCCAAAAACTGATGTGGTTGGACCTATTTTTTCAATCGCTAGTTTAGTCAATTTTTGCTATTTTTTTCTACGTAGAACTACTATACTGGGGGGCAAATCAAAAAATATGTGTGGTGAAATAGTGTTAGGTTTTGAACGCTTGTAACTTTGTCACTTATAGATGAAATTCAAATCCAAATACGCCAATCGATAAGATATTACTTAAAAAATCTTCTGAAATAAATACTTTTCAATTTTTTAATCAAAAAACTTTTGAAAAATGCGCGTTTTATAATTTTATCACTGTTTTCATGAAATAAACGTTTTCCCCAAACCCAGACATCATAAATGAGTACCACTTGGTTGCACATCATTCTGCTATGGTCAATTGTCTACGCAGGGGATCGATCACCTTGACAACCAGCGATGTCGAAGGAGAGACGGTAACTAGTATGAACGATGGAATTTATGAACAATTATGTACCCCTCTTCCTACAATAATGGCAACCTGAAAAAAAAATGAACTTTGACGATCACCTTTTTTTCGATAAATCAACTAACAATTAAAATAAATTAACTTCACCCGTTTGCCAAGAAAATAATTGTTCACCCAGGTCATTTTGATGATATTTTGTTTGTGATTTATCAACAAATGACTAAAACATATTTGGTACCAAATATAGATTCACATCCGAAGTCCACCCTTTTTTACATATTCTACACAAAAGTTACTTTCTGCCCCACCCCATTCATAAAAAAAATGGCGGGAAATCCTGTCGGGTCGGTTGCACATCCTTCGTCTTGAATATGAAAAGATATAAAACAGCGCTGCTGTCGTGCCTCTGCTCATAACCGCTTCGGACGACGTGGCACTTGGTCCTGCAGCAAGCAGTCACGAGATATATCACGAGATCCTGACCAAATAGAATGTTACTGTCTTCGGCAAAGTTGTTCAGGGAGCCAAGGCCTTTTGTCTGATAGACAGAAATTAATTTTTTTTTTCACATCATTGCGCTTGTATACACGTGCAATTTTCGCCTTAGATATATTTGGCTGATGAACAGTAGTTCAGTAATTTCCCAAAACTTGGCGGGAAAATCTCGCATATCAAATATCATAAAATAAAAACACAATTTACGTCAGCCTGAGTGGGATATGACAAATATATTCTGGATTTCTTTTACTGGTGAAGATTTTCATGCAGATTTGTGGATACATAAATTGAGGTGAGTCGTTCCACTTGTATACCTCTGATAAATTAGTGGTAACACGTATCTCAGATGGAAAACATTATCTTAAAAGATCAATATTGCTGAGTCTTCCACCAAATGAATGATTAGAGTCTCCCTTTCATTTAAGGCTAATTTCAAAGTGTCTTATCGAGGGGTCTAGGACAAAAAAAAAATCGGTGTATTTACGTGTGTACGGACAACGAGACTAACTCAGAGAGTGAGACACTTTTGCTCAGTTGAATCGAAAAAAATATAAAACCGTACACTTGTGGCATACCATTCCCTATTGCAGTAAAATACAAATTAACAAATATGATATTCCATTCCCTGACATAACTAAACAACCAAAACAGTAAATATTCATTCACCCCCGGACAGCAAAGGCAACGCCCGGGTAAAAAGAATGCAATTATGCAATTCTAAACGAGCCATATGTGTAGCCACTCGATACTGGACTTTCAGCGCGCTCTCGTCTCTCTCCACCCTACCGGTGTGGTCCGAGGTCGTTCGCGCAGTAGGAAAAGTTTCGGATGACAACGCCAAGCGCTTAAGTAAAGTACATGTAAACTTATCGATTATGCTAGGATGAGCAATTTCGGACAAATTATATGTCACTCTAGTCGTCTCACTCTAAACCATACCCAAGTAACCAAAAGTTCTGATAAAAGGCTATTTGTGGCTTAAGCAGCTTGGTTGGTGGTGGTCTATAGAATTCTAAGCAGCCTCATTTTTAAGTCGTTATAAGAACTTGAAAGTTCCGATATCATAATTCAAGAGCATTCTAAGCAGCTTCTGGCGGAGCTTGAACGGAACTTCAGAAAATAAATTCAAAAAGGTTTTTGTCCTGTACACCAAATTCTATGTATAGTTCGCACTTTTATGAAAGTTATACCTTATTATACCTTATACCTAAAAGTAGGTATTATTAATGTGTTTTGATTTATAAGCATTGGAAGTAGAATTGGCGCTGTGTGAAGAATTAAACCCAGTCCTTCTGCGTGCGAGCCCCAGCACGAACCGCTGTGTCATCTGAGATATAATAAAGTGAGCTGTTGTCTCGCCTACTGTTGGAGTTTTCAGTGCCAGCTGACTGACTTGAATACGAAACACAACACCTTGATTAATTTGTGGCGCAGTAGTTAGCGTTCGTAGATCGCATGCCGATTACACGGGTTCAAATCCAGGAAATATCGCTTTAATTTTTTTTTAATGTTTGAATGGAATGTTGATGCACTGCATAAATATAAGAATTATGATATATTCTGGCCGCTGATCATTTAATATTTACGTACATTAAATGTTGTTACTAATAAATACTTGTGCGGATTGCTTCATGTGGTTTCAAAGTTCTGTCGGAACTTTATTTGAACTTTATGGAACTTGAAGGTTCGGTCGGAACTCTATTTGAACTTTATGGAACTTGAAAGTTCTGTTGGAACTTTATTAGAACTTTATGGAACTTGAAAGTTCTGTCGGGACTTTATTCGAACTTTATGGAACTTGAAAGTTCTGTCGGAACTTTATTTGAACTTTATGGAACTTGAAGGTTCGGTCGGAACTTTATTTGAACTTTACGGAACTTGGAAGTGATTTTAATCA